ACTGTTGATATTCTCCACTGCTGTCTATGTAAAGAAATCAACCTTCCCCCAATCTCCTCTCGAGAGAAAAGTTAGCAGAAGTCCTGACTTTTATAAAACAAATCCCATTTAAATTCTGTAATATCCCCAAACCATTTGCGTATCAGGCCCTGACTTTAAATTTGCGGGGGAATGGGGATAGGGAGGAGATGAAGATTTCAATAGAGACTCCTAGAAAGCTGTCTGCACGCACCTTATGGAAATTTTGGTGACTCGGTGGTGAAGTGTCTGTGGCAGGTGAAGGAATTCACAGAATGACCCAGATGTCAACCGCACTGGTCAGGAAGGGATGACCAGGCCACCTTGACCCTGGCCTCTAGCTTCAGGGGTCCAAGCCCTGACCTGTAGAAGAGGCCACTGCAACCTGCCTGCTGGGACTGAGCGCTCTGTCATGCAGTACTGCAGGGACTGAGTGTTCTGTCATGCAGTACTGCAGGGACTGAGCGTTCTGTCACGAAGTACCTCAGGGACTGAGCGTTCTGTCACGCAGTACTGCAGGGACTGAGCGCTCTGTCACGCAGTACCACAGGGACTGAGCGTTCTGTCACGCAGTACTGCAGGGACTGAGCGTTCTGTCACGAAGTACCTCAGGGACTGAGCATTCTGTCACACTACTGCAGGGACTGAGCGTTCTGTCACGCAGTACCATGGGGACTGAGCGTTCTGTCACGCAGTACCATAGGGACTGAGCGTTCTGTCACGCAGTACTGCAGGGACTGAGCGTTCTGTCACACAGTACCTCAGGGACTGAGCATTCTGTCACGCAGTACTGCAGGGACTGAGCGTTCTGTCATGCAGTACCACAGGGACTGAGCATTCTGTCACACAGTACCACAGGGACAGAGCGTTCTGTCACGCAGTACCACAGGGACTGAGCGTTCTGTCACACAGTACTGCTGGGACAGAGCGCTCTGTCACGCAGTACCACAGGGACTGAGCGTTCTGTCACACAGTACTGCAGGGACTGAGCGCTCTGTCACACAGTACCGCAGGGACTGAACGTTCTGTCACACAGTACCGCAGGGACTGAGCGTTCTGTCACACAGTACCACAGGGACTGAGCATTCTGTCATGCAGTACTGCAGGGACTGAGCGTTCTGTCACACAGTACCGCAGGGACTGAGCGTTCTGTCACGAAGTACCACAGGGACTGAGCGTTCTGTCACGCAGTACCTCAGGGACTGTGCATCTGTCACGCAGTACCTCAGGGACTGAGCGTTCTGTCACGCAGTACCTCAGGGACTGAGCATTCTGTCTCACAGTACCACAGGGACTGAGCGTTCTGTCACGAAGTACCACAGGGACTGAGCATTCTGTCACCACAGGGACTGAGCGTTCTGTCACACAGTACCTCAGGGACTGTGCATCTGTCACGCAGTACCACAGGGACTGAGCGTTCTGTCACGAAGTACCTCAGGGACTGAGCGTTCTGTCACGCAGTACTGCAGGGACTGAGCGGTCTGTCACGCAGTACCGCAGGGACTGAGCGCTCTGTCACGCAGTACCAAGGCGCAACCGGAGCCACTGAACCCTGCAGCAGGTATTTTTGCATGCCTGTCTGGCTCTGCCCCCATCTGAACATCAGCCTATTAATGAGGAGGAGGAGGGGTTACCGAGAGATCTCGCACAGCCGGGAGCCAGGCTTGCCTCACCCCCTTTCCCTGAAGAACTATTAGCCAAAGCCATCACTGTGAGGAGAGCGCCTTCAAAGGCCCCGATGAGGACAGAGGTGAGCCTGGGAAGTGTGCAAACGACAAACAGCAATATTTCCGCTGACAAGAAACGAAGATGAAACAAATGTTAGGAGAGAAAACATGATTTTATTTTGCCGTGCGCTCCCTGCAAGCGGTCATCAAAGTCCTCGGCTGAAATGAAAAAGGCATCAATATAACGGCACGCTGGATCCAGCTCAGATTTCTAACAACAGCAGTCATCTTTGAAATCATAAAAGCTGACACACACACAGAAAAGATATCAATGCAGAAAGCAAAGCGCACGGCCCCAAATAGTCTTGTGCTGCGCACTTGTCAGAGAACGTCGGCGCTGGGAGCCACTCAGGGATCATCTGAGAAAACCTTTTCATGTTTCAAAGGCAGAGCGTCTGTACCCGAAGAAGAACTTTACCCAACTTGCTCAAGGTCGCACAGCTAGTTAGTGACTTTGAGGTTTGTTAGCAACTGCCTGCCTTGTCTCCACGGAGCCAGGCGGTGAAGTTTTCTGTCTGCAAAACCAATCTGGCCTGGTAGGCGAGGCCAGCCCTGGTGAAGTTCAAGCCCCGAAGTTGTTCAAGTTCACCAGATGCTGGATTCTAATCGTCGACCTTCTGGCTCTGATCCACACGCTGCCTCCATAGCGGATGCAGGAGCCTCCTCAATGTCTCTCCCACACCTGTGTGGACAGAGACCTCTGCAGCAGAGTCTGCCTGACACACGAGCAGGGCGGGAAGCACAGACTTGAACTCTAGACACGTTAACAGGAAAAGAAAGGGATGGAAGGCTGGAAACATCCTAAGAATTGAAAACAACAGAAGTTAAACGCGCTAGGGAGGGATGGACGGAAGGAAGAATGACCCCCAAGGTAAAACACACTTATTTTTAAAATTCTGCATGGTAGGAGAGGTTCTGGGGATGGCTGACCACTTGTGTTTTAGAAAACGGAAAGAGGATTTGGAGCTGTGTGGCTTAATCGGTCTTCAAGATCTGCTGACCTTACACTTTTCAAAAATGTAGCTTGGTGAGCTTTAAGAAGTGTGATATGAATGGCTCACGTAACTGAACTGTGAGTCAAAAAAGTCAGGAGAAAAAGCTACTTAGTCCAAAGCATAAAATGATCATTCTGGGCTGGGAAGATAGAGTACATGCTTTGCATGCCTGAGGTTCTGGGTTCAATTCCTCAGCACCACATAAGCAGAAAAAGCCAGAAATGGCGCTGTGGCTCAAGTGGTAGAGTGCTAGCCTTGAACTGAAGAGCTGAGGGACAGCGCCCAGGCCCAGAGGTCAGGCCCCATGACCAGCAAAAAAAATTAAAAATAATAATAATAAGGCAAGTGGCAGTTGTGAAGTCTAAATTGGTACAACTCTTTCTAGATCAATTTGAAAAGCTCAAACTGTACCTGACTTTTATCTCAACACTAACAATTTAGTACTATTTCTTCAAAAAGTAAACATATCAGGAAATACTGGTGATATCCCTAATATACAGTATATAAACAAATGTAGTTACCCAAAATATCTAATTAAATAGATACTGTTAGTAAGAAATATATTCAGCCTTGTGCTAGTGCATTACTCCTGTACTCCTAGCTATTCAGGATGCTGAGATTTAGAGAATAGTGGTTTAAAGCCAACAGAAATCTCAGAGGGACTACATTTCCAAGATAACATAAAACTTGACCAGAGGTTTGACTCACATGGTAAACTGTGGTTCAATTGGTAGAGTGCCAACCAAGAAAACAAGTAAGTGTAGAAATGTGTAGGCCTGAGTTCAAAGCCCAGTATCACCAGAGAGAGAGAGAGAGAACTACAGCTATATACACTTGCAATGTACCCTGATCAGATCTGTCACTGAACAATGCACCCCTCCATTACTCTCCCTCTCCCCAAACTAATTTCATTACATTTTTATCATTTCATTTCCAAACATGTGCATTAAATATTTGGGATATCTTCATTTTCTTGCACAACTAATGATGCAAATAAAAATGTAGGAAAAATATACCTATGCAGCAGAATGCTATTTAAAATCAATTAGCATAGAAAGGTATCTTAAAAAAGGTTTATACTAAGGGTGAAAATAAGCTAAAAGAAGTTATGACAAATGGTGCTGAAATTCTTATAAATTTCTGCTTGTGTAAGTAGAATAAAGTGTGATGTGTGTCGCTATTAATAGCGACCACTGGCTGGTAGAATTACAGATGACTTGTAGACAGGTTTTATAATTTCTAAATTACTTCCACAGAATCAATTTTTCTTCCTTTCCAAAGAGATACTTGTTTATGTTTCTTAATTTTTATGGTATCTTAAATAGTTGCACCAAGAAGTTACCACGATAAATTTTCGCATCAGAAAACACAATGAAGAGAGAAGTTGTTCTGTCAGGCAAGAGTGTATCTGATCCTTATCTGAACATACATGATTAATCAGAAGGAGCGTGGGTCTCAAAAAATTGTAGGGTATAGCCAGACACTGGTGGCTCATGCCTGTAATCCCAGCTACTCAGGAAGCTGAGATCTGAGGATTGTGGTTCAAAGCCAGCCTGGATAGGAAAAGTCCATGAGACTCTTTCCTTTGACTAACCACCAGAAAACTGGGAGTAGTGCTGTGGCTCAAATAAAACTAGCCTTGAGCAAAAGAGCTCAGGGACTGCACCTAGGCCCTGAGTTTAAGGCCCATGATTAAACAGAAGGGGTGAGGGGTGTGTGAAGGATTCCTTGCGAGCTTGTGGGGGAGGGGGGTAATGAAGTGGCTTATTTTGAAGCTTTGCCTCCCATCTCAAGTCAGGATTCTCTCTGCTGAGCCCCTGACGGCAAATCAGAGGCTTAATTCAGCAAAGAAGTTCTGAGAAGCTGTTGTCATGAGAAACTCTGAGTCAGGGGCAGACCTGCCAGGCCACGCTGCAATGCTTATGAAAGTGGTGCTGTCTGGCTATTTTCCTAAGATATTTCTCTTTCTGTCTGGTTCACTCTGGTTTCCTATGCAGGGGGCTGGGGGCCCTGGAATCCCGTGATTGACCTGGGATTTGACAGAGCTGAGACCACCTCAGCATGGAAAAGCAGCAGAGGGCTGGCCACGAACCACTAGCTCACCTCCAAACAAGAGACCCGGCCTTTCGATGAGGACAGAAGCCACGGGAGCTCCATCCACACACTCCACAACAAGGTCAGTCTTCTCAGCCCCAATCTCCCTCCACCTGAAGCTGAGATGATTCTCCACGCCACTGAAGCCTTCCACAGAGACATCCACCAACCACCCACGTGCGTGAACTTTATTTAGCCACTCGAGACACCCCACCCATCTGTCCACGTGGCCTGTGAGGAGGGCACCACGAGGCTGAAAGGGAACGCCCAGGACCAGGTCCAGGGTGGCATCCCCTCAGGGAGAACAGAAGCGGCCGCAGAACAAGATGGTGCTGCTCTCGTGGTTCCAGATGAAGAACAGAAACGGGTGGTCCGCACAAAACGTGGGCTCGATTCTGCTGCAGCGGGTGTTCCTGATCACCGCCGTGGCCGCCGCGGCCTCCGTCCCCTCCTCGTTGACCTCCACGAAGCACTTGTGGACCACCTTGGACAGAGGCACATGCTTCTTCGCCGACATTCCTGAGAAGTCAGCCTTAGTTTCATCGAAAGCATCGGTGATTCCTAAACCCTGGAGAACAGAGTTCAACTCATAGTTCTCCTCCATCTTTAATCTGGGAAGGAAAACTTGAACTTTACTTTGGATCAGGTTGTCTGGACTGAGCCAGGCTTTGAGCTTTTCGTATGTAAGAGCTTCCTCCACCTGCAAAGACCAAGGGTCAAAGGTTCAAATCCAGAGCACAACGCCCATCACTTACTACCCCCCTTCCACAACAGGGAATCAGGTGTGGAACTCTCATCCAACACAAGCCACAGAGAGTCTTCTGGTTAGAAACACACCAAGATTCCCACCCACCCCGCAACTCTTGTCTGTATCTGACAGATACAAGAATAGAAGAGCCAGCAAACACCCAACACAAGCAACGTGTTTAAATAAACACCATCTGTACCAAGCTCGTGTCATGAAAAACCAATCTTCACAGCTTAAAATTATAACCGCTCCCATATCAATATTCATGTGATACACTGAGTTGCAGGAAAGATCGAGAGCTCAGATTCCATGAGGGACAAGGCAGGGTGAGTGAGGTAGAAATGAAGTCACACTTGAACATGAGGGAGGTGTAGCTTTGGGGAAGAGACAGACCCTGGCACTGGTGAGCTGGAGCTAGCTCAGCTCAGCCTCGAAACTCTGGGAATCCTATAGTCAGCCAAAGTGAGAGTGTTCATGGGAATCTGGAACCTGCTGACACTGCGGGCTTTCTCCTCCTCCCAAGAGCTGCTTGGTCTTCCCACTGCTCATCCTGCAATATGTACCTTATCCTAAGTCTCTCTCTCTTTACCTGGGCTTTGCTTTTTTTTTTTTTTTATTCCCTCCACCGGGTAATTCTCCCACCAGGATCTTAGACTCTTGTTCTCATTCAAAGCGCAGTTCACCAAACAGCAGCGTGCGCATGGGATCTTGTTAGAAATGAAAAGTCTCACTGCTGAGCTTTGTCCCAAGATCCTCCAGGTTCTTCGCATATTGGTATTTGAGAAGCATCGACCAGATCAACCTCTAGCCTTCTTCCAGGACTCTTCTGATCATGAACAGTGTGTGTGTAGGTGTGTGTGTGTGTGTAGGTGTGTGGGGGTGGGTGTACACAGGAGCTGATACTGGGGCTTGAACTCACAGCCTGGGTACTCTCCTTGAGCTTTCTCCTTTAAGGCTGGTGCTCTAACAACTGAGCCACACTTCCACTTCTGGATATCCAGTGGTTAATTAGAGATAAGAGTCTCATTGACTTTCCTGCCTAGGCTGGCTTCAAACCTCGATTCTCAGATCTCCATCACTTGAGTAGCTATGAATATAGGTGTGAGCCACAGAGCCTGTTCAAGAATTACTGACCCACAAACTAGCTTCTCCCTTCTAAATTAAAAACAGGACAATCAAAGAATATTCTAATACTTTTTTCCAGTGTCGTCTCTTCTAGTTTCATCATTAGTTCACTTCTAAATATCCACTCAACAAAAATGCTACACAACTGTCACCAAAAGCCAGGAATGGATGTACACCAGCACCACCTGTAATAACGTGTCGTTGGGAACGCCCCTAATTCCATCCCATAGATGGACTCGGCTGGAATCCACAGACCACAGACCCCGGCCAGCACATACCACTGCGAGGTCAGTGTTCTCATCGGGTAGCAGAATGACCATGCTCAGGATCTCGTCCACGTAGGGCAGCTGCATGACCTGAGTGTGAAGCTCAGGTATGTCCCCCATTTTAAATTTAGCTTTCTTGAACATCATCTTCACTGTTTTGTTTTCCTAGGATAAAAACAAAATTGCACAATGTACTTAAAATAGAGCTGGTTCCCAGAACTCCTAGCTATGTGTAAGATAATTCATATTTCTATGGAGTTGTGCTGCCAGATTTTCAAAAAAATCTTTGTGAGCACTTATTATTGTTACCTAGAACATGTTATTGTCCCTGCAGGCAGGTCCAGGTGATAGAATAGGTGGATCAGGCAGGTTGGCAGAAAGCTCTGCTTTATTTTGGAAGAAATGGCATGTGCTGTTTGGGAGAGATTTATAAAGAAGCGTTCCCCTGGACCTGACAATTTAAAAAGGAGCTTTAACTAATAGCCCCCTGAGCTGAAAGATCTGGTTAGAAAAGATACATCAACCAAAGGAAATTGTTATCTTTACTCTTAAAAAGGTGCCCAATGACAGAATTGGTTTTAGGAGTTTGGTTTCTTGCGGGGAAGAAACCATGAGCAGATGCAACATGGAACTCAATTTCAAAGCTTCCATCGAACGTACTTAACCTGCACACCCTTGTACAAAATCCTTGCTGGGTATTGATGAAGATCCACACTCATGACCACTGACCCCAGCCAGTATCATGTCAGAAGGAGAATGCATAAAATTGCAAAGTCGTGGGCTGGGAAGGTGGCTCAGTGGTAGAGTGTTTGCCTCACATGCATGAGGCCCTCGGTTCGATTCCTTAGCACCACATAGGAGATAAAGCCAGAAGTGGTGTGGCTCAAGTAGAGCACTAGCCTTGAGCTGAAGAGCGGAGGGACAGTGCCCAAGCCCAGAGTTCAAACCCTAGGACTGGCAAAAAAAAAAAAAGTAAAGTTGTTTTCAATATCTGATAACACTCTTTTTTTCTTTTTCAAAATAATTATCACCCTGAATTTTAAGGCAACAAATGGACATTGCTACCATAGCATAAAAATTTGTCTAAGTAAATAGAGTTACTTCTATGATACCAACATAATTCCAAGGATTAGGAGAAATTTCCTCCAACCCAAACTATATGAACCGAGCAGGAAGATCACCTCACCAAAGCAGAAGAACAAAGCTATCAACACAAACATTACAGTACTTTCTCTCAACCTACCGCTAGGGCAGCTATAGTAATCATTATACCACCCATATCTCTATAGGTGCCTCATGGCTATAATCCTAGGTCGTGATTTAGAGAATTGCCATTCAAAGCCAGAATGGGCAAGAAAGTTTGCATCTCTGAAATGAACAACAAAAAGCAGGACTGAAGACTTGGCACATCTGCTCATGTCAGCTTTGCATGGGCAAGACCCTGAATTTAAACCCCAGTATTAAAAACAAAAAGGAAAGAAAGAAATACTAGATGTAGAAGAGATATCAAGATCAGGACAGTGTGACACAAATAACTGTGTGACAAAATAACACTTTTCTGACCCTCTTCTTCCTCAGCTTATTGAAGAGAGTACCTGATTCGTTTTGAAGAGCATATCCCTTGTGTGTTTTCTGTCAAACTGCTCCTTCCACTTTCCTTTGAAATACACTGCATTCACTAGGACCATCTTCGTCTGGGAACTGACTGACCCAGGACCCAGCACCTCCGAGATCTTACCTGTGAAGGATACGTGAGACAGAGATTGAGGAAATGGAGAGACAATGATCATTCTTCTATAATCTCCTTCACAGATACAGCTCACGTGTGCTTGAGGGCCAGGCTAGTGTATTCTTTGTTCTTCAATAGCAGTCTTGTTTTGTTTTCATTTTTGCTTTGAAGAAAGGGTCTCAGACACAAAGTGGTGGCTCACGCCTGTAATCCAGGCTACTCAGAAGGCTGAGGTCTGAGGATCAGAGTTCAAAGCCAGCCCAGACAGGAAAGTCCATGAGACTCTTAACTCTAATTAACCACCAGAAAACTGCAAGTGGAGCTGTGCCTCAAAGTGGCTGAGTGCTCACCTACCACTAGTAAACTAGTGAGTGAAAGAGCTCAGAGACAGCAACCAAGCCCTGAGTTCAAACCTCACAACTGACAAAAAGTGGGGGGGGGGGCTCTCATCTTAGCCCAACAGGCTGGCTTCAAACTCAAGAACCTCTTACCTCAGCTTCTCAAGTGCTGGGATTACTTACAGGCGTCTTCTACCATGCCCATTCTAAACAGCCATCTTGGTGGCAGAAACAGAGAGGTAAAGCTTGAGGAAGCCTGTCAGGGGACTTGGCATTGCTGATCAACTCGGGGCAGAGCTGCCCCCGTGGAGCGGTGACAGCTCCTTCTTGTCAAGTCAAGAGGCTGTGTGCTGAAAGGGGGTGGGGGGTGCAGTGTGCGTGTCTGTGACACAGACAGCATCCAGGGCGAGGGTGGACAAGGTCACACGCTAGGAACTCGTCTACGGCCGGGGAGGGGGTGAAGAGGAGAGCAGGGCTGCAGGCCCCACAGGGAGGACTCCGCACCGATGGATGTCAGAGCCAAGCAGCTGACGGCCTCTCATCCTCTCCCTGGAGTGGCTGGAGTCGCCGCCCCTCACCAGAGGAGACAGGGAGGCCACGCCCCAGAGGACACCTGCGCCCAGGTCAGTGGCGGATCCCATCCTGACCCCCAGGCCCACTTTGTCCTTGTCACTACTTTGTGATGCAATGAGGCCACGGGCCGGGGGTGGAAAACCCAGCACACATCCAAGGCCCCAGCAGCCAAACCACCGAGGTCCAGATCCTGCCCTGCCAGGCTCTCCGAGGTCCTCTTAGCTCAGAAGCTCTTACCTTCTGTCTTCTCTGAGACCCAGGCATTGATGTGCTTCCTGCAGTCTTCGCTCTCTCTGACAAAGGACAGCTCTTCCAGCCCCGCCTCATAGAACTTCTGACAGGACTCCTTAAAGGACTACGCACAAAAACACCAGGTTGGCCTTTGGAATTCAGCAAATCTTCCCCCGCGGTGCAGCAAGGATGTGCCTATGTATGCATGTGTGTGAATGTGTGCGTATATACTTGTGTGTATGTCTCTCTGTGTATGTACATTTGTGAGTGTCAGGGAAGTTGCAAGGTAACTTGGAATCAAAGCAAGAAAAGACCCAAATGACTCATCCCACAAAAGCTTATTTGCAGATATAATTTGCCTGGCAATGAAGCTCCCCTCTTCTGCCTATTTCTCATTAGCAAGTATTTTAGAACCAAGGGGATGCGAGTTCTTCATGTCCCCAATAGTGAAAGATCAATGTGATGTCAAAACTGGACACAGATCCACCAGAAGATTCCTGGGATCCAGAGTCATCTACAGCACTCAGAAGTCCAGACAGCGTCCTGCGGACAGATCCACAGCCACCCGGAGAGGGGCCAGCCTGAGTCTTGCACAAGGACCCTTGCAATTCACCTCCAATAAGATGGCGGGGCCTGCTCCATTCATGACACTAACCTCAAGCAAGCATTGGCCTCCATACTATGTGCCATACTTGTTTGGATCCACATTGCTGAGTTAGGGCAGGCTTTGAATAACTTCAGAGATATATGCTGAATAATGAAGAGACTTTGGTCTTAGCTAGAAAGACTTCTACCCATGGTGTCAATTTGTGAAATAAGCAAAAGAGCCAGGCAGGATTCTGAAAGATCCGCTCCTAGGAGCAATGAACAAGAGCATAAACAGTCTGAACCCAAGCAACACCAATGACAATTCAGAAGACAGAGCAAAGGTACGAGACCTGAAGAGGCCGTGTCTGCAGCAACCAGCCCAGTCAGCAGAGGAGGGAAAGGGAGACACAGTACAGCTGAGGAGAAGTCTGGGAGCAAGAGAACAGAAAAATCAACATTGGTATTTTTGAGAGGGGGGAGGTGTGTATCAGAAGCAAGTTTTAAAGAGATTTTATTCAGACACAATTATAAAAATTCCAAATTGTATCTGCAAAGGCGTCGTCGTAAGCAGCCCTTAAGGTGTTAGAGTCAGACTTCACTCTCCGCATTTCTTTCACACACACCTGCTTCTTTTCAACCTCTCTCCATCACTCTCTGAACGCTACTTACTGAAAGGAAATCGCACGTTTCTTCTCCAAAGAGTCTGTTGGCCATTCTCAGCAAGTTCTGATGGTCAGTCTTCTTAGCATCACTGAGAAATACCTGGAAACCACGGTGAATATCTCCACCGCCGTCCAGGCAAAGTGCCTGGAAAGACAAATGACATCTGCTGTTAACATCCAGCCCCAAAGACCTACTGACAAACAATGTTTTGGACTGGAAAATCACACGGTGATGTTAAGCCTACCTTTAAAGGATTTTAAATTTTATTTGTTTACCTATTTATTTAATACCATTTAATTCCGTCTTGACACTATTAATTGTCGTAGGAGAATTAAGTAATTAATTCCTAGGAGAATTTGCAGCACTTCCAGATCCTGCCACTAGATGTCAGTAGCACCTCTTTGCAATGGCCAGATTATGATTTACATGTCAACTCAAAGTAAGAATCAAGGCTTTTCCTGTTTCTTCCAATCACCCCCAAGCAATGCTTCTGTCTTCCAATGGGCTGGTAAACATCCACAGAGGGATTTCAGCATAGGTTCTGGACACCGGGCAGGAATACTCCTGCACACCCCTGGAGACAGAATGTTCTTGTGACTCCTGTGACACATTCACCACATGGTTGGAAAAAAAAAAAGCCCCAAAGGTATTACCCAGTGCCCAGTTGTAGATCATTCAGGATCAGTCAGATTGTTTAATCCCTCTAAGCCCATATTTATGTTCTATTCTTCTTCTACTTACATATGATCAGACACTAAAAAATAATCCATTTTACAAAACATCCCTTCCTACAACTGCACTTGTACTTAAGACATAAAGTAAGCAAAAGTTTAAAGTATCACAAGGTTGAATGATGTATTTTTTGGCCTTTGTGTAGGGCAGATGGATAGTTTACATTACTTTCCAAAGATGTGATTTCACCAGAAAATTTGAGGACTTTCTCTAGACTGTGTCTCCTGCAAACTGAGATGAACACTCCGCCCTCACGATGGACTGTTCGTCCATATCTGCTGCCTCGCAGACAAGAAACAAGTCACCTTACCTGGGACATCTGGGCTGCTGTGTTTCCTCTTGTTCCCAGATATACCATGGACATGGAAGAGAAGATGCTGATGGGGCTGAAGAATACATTGTGTGACTTGTCTTCTTCACCCAACACTTTGAATAGCTTGATGGCAAAGGAGCCACTTGCTTCATGGACATCATCCATCTGGGAAAGTCTGCTCCAAAGATACAACAAGAAAGCACATCAGCCAACCCCAGCTCCGGCCACGTGGTCAGACAGGAGGAGGGCTAGAGGGCGTAACTGTGACGTCAGCGTCATCCACGCCCCTCCCCTGAGAATATATTTTCTTATATGGCAACAAACGCGCTTGATGGAGGATTTTAGACATCAACATGGTCCTGAAGTACAAGGGTTCTTACTACACAGAGGAGGGAGGAGAATCAAAGTCAGGGAAGGAGATTGGAAGTCAAAGGATGAGCAGACACTGACCCAGGGCTGCAGGCAGAAGCTGAAAAAGGCAAGGGAGCAAACTGTCCCCAGAGCTGCCAAGAACACCAAACCCCTAGAGCTGCGCTCTACCACTTTGGATTTATGACTCTCACAGCTGGAAGACAATATAATGGATGTTATTTGTATCTACGAAGTTTGTGTGGAGGTAGTACAGCATCAACAGGAAACCTAATCTCTCTCTCTCTCTCTCTCTCTCTCTCTCTCTCACACACACACACACACACACACACACACACACGGACTCAGACAACATTAGGCTTTACATGTCCCTGTGGGTGGGGCTGAGTTAGATTTCAGGCTCTGTGCTGGCTGGGCTGATGTCCTGCCGCTTGCATCCCATCCCAGCCTTTGCCCCCCAAGACTTGTTCATCCCACCCCTGAGGGCGACAAGACCCAGGCAGCTCATCCCCCAGCTCCCCCCACCAGCCCTCCCCTCGTTTGTCACTTTAGGTCCGGCAGTCTTACCAGGGTGAAGGACACCGAGCTGCTTCTACAGCTCTCCCCAAGCCGCTGATGACTACACCCCACAGTGTGACCTCACAGACCCATTTCTCAGTGCACTAAGTCATCTACTGCTGCGACTTTCCTTCATGTCTCTGACATCGTTCTTAAAGAATATTCCAAGGATCATACACAATTCTTTTCAGTTGACAGCCACATTTCGGCCATGTGAAATGGCTGGACAGATGGCACAAATTTGGAGGGTGTTTGAGCATGTCTAGCTAAAATATAGATTATAGGGAGAATTTTAAAAAGATGCAACACTTTCCACCAAAGTGGTTGATAACTGTGTAGAGAGAGTCCACATGAACTATACATAAAATATAAAATCTGAAACTATATGTAAAATAAGCTGAACTACATGTAAAATATAAAATATGCCAAATACTTTCATTAAACATTTAAATTATGTATTATAAATTAATGCCTAAATTATTATAAATTATCTTGTTAATTGAACTTTTGAATGATTAAATTAAAATAGTATATTAGTTAAAATATAAAATCCGTAAGAACTGCATTTAAAAATCAGCAGCTCACATGTGAAGTCATGAGCAGTGTGAATTAAATGGACTGGTTGGACCAGGATGGGGTCAAAGGTGCCTATAGTTTGACTAAATTATACTCACGTGGAATTTGCCTAAGTAAACAATCTAAGTAAACAATCCTGCTCTGGGCTCTAACTTCCCTTTTCTTACAGCAGTTACTTCGGATTTGGTTAAATGCTCCTTTAAAATGTAAATCTTGTTAAAAGCTTCCAGCTGGCTTTCTGTCCCTGAAAGCCCTTAGGCCATCCCTTTGCAATTCAGCCTCAAAGTAGGTAGAAGAGGGAATTCTTCCCAGGTGAAGAGGGAAATCTAACTTAGGATAGTTTTCTCCAAGTAACAGAAACGCATTTGGGGTTCTCATGTTTCCATTTTAGTAAATTATTGTCTTCTACTAATGAGTTATTTCTTTTTCACCTTTTTAAGCATTGTTTTAAAAGGGCAGCACAAAGGGGTTCCAATTCAACACAGTTGATTTGTGGGTACAAGGCATCTTGCTACTGTCACCCCTTCCACTGGTTTCCCTCAACCCCACCTATCCCCCAAGTTACTTGGTTCTAATGAGGCATTTCTATTAAACTTTATAGAACCCTGGGCTACTGAGTCATAAAACACTCAACTCACTTCATTTTCCCTGCGACTCTTAGCCCTTATAATGGGGACATTTTGGAAAATGGACAAATCACCAGCCATAAATCCATAATCACACCAATTATATATTCTGTTACACAAGCCTCTTTTTTCTTTGAATGTGTATTTTGAACACAAAATATCAAAACTCAAAACTTTAAGGACACACCAGAAAAATAGGTCTCAATTTGGGAAATGAGCAAAATCAGAAGTACTAGACAGTCTAGCTAAAGTGAGGATGGTCCTGTATCTTCCTTCCTTCCTTCCTTCCTTCCTTCCTTTCTTTCTTTCTTTCTTTCTTTCTTGTTTTCTTTCTTTCTTTCACTTTTCAGTTTATTGCATGAAGGAGTTACACTAGTCCAAGTTAAAAGTGGACCCCAAATGGTTACATTATACAAGCTGTGAGGTTTTTAAACTTGTGACAAGGGATGAAAGGGAAATTCTACTCATTGCAAGGAAATCCTCACTTAACTTCCGTGGGCCACAAGCACTTAAAACCCTTAGCCAGTCCAGTCTCTACCAGGAACTGGCATATGTTCTTAGGCTGATCACCCTGGAGCTGAATTACTTCTCCACATTCTGGATGTTCAATTACAGTACCATGGCAGGCCAATTTCTTCTTCAATGCCTTCACTAATTTTGTTTTATCATAATCATCAGTGATCCCTCGGACAGCAATAAGGGTCTTATTTCTATACACACAGGATCAGCTCGCAGCTTCCCAGTGGACTGAACACACCTGCGACCAAGTCTTTGAAATCCTACTTCTTGTGCTTCCCAGCCCCACCCCCACTCCTTTTTGGTCTGTGTCTCTCTGGGGCCCAAGAAAAAAGGGAAGGAAAGCGGGTGGAACTGGGGGAGGGAAGGACGCCAATCAGAGAGTCTCCACTATTAATACACAAGTGAGAAGTCTGAACTGGAGTTAGGGTAGATTTTAAACAACTGTAGAGTGTGGTGGAGACTTGGAAGGCTGACTGTATGATGTCGAGATTTGGTAGCTGAACTCCATCCCGGCCCAGAGACTCCTGGAAAAGTCCCTGCCCTGGAGACGCTGGGAGATGAAATGTTAGACAGAACGCTTGCTCTAGGAAGCCCTGGGAGGAGTCACGGACAGAATGCTTGCTCTAAGACCGACTAGAAGGCGTCAAGAACCATACAGCCCGGGTTCCCAGATAAGGTCTCACTCTGGGTGTGTCTTGAACTGCCGGCAGGTCCTATGAGAAGCCGACGTGGAATGGGGAAGGTGACACGTTCCATTCCAGATGTATGGAGCATGTCACACCACTGAGCCTGTAACAAAGGCAGCCAGGAGGTTTGGAAATGTGGGTGTGCCTAAAAGATAGGCATGTGTCTAGAGACAAGGTTGAGATTCATCAGCATCCTGATCCAGGAGATGTTACCTGGATGGATGGATGGATGGATGGATGGGTGGATGGGTGGATGGATGGGTGGATGGATGCATAGATAGATGGATGGACTGATGGATGGATGGATAGATAGATGGACGGACAGATGGATGGATAGATGGATAGATAGATGGACGGACAGATGGGTGGATGGATAGATGAATGGATGGATGGACAGACTGGTAGACGGACTGATGGATGGATGGATGGATGATGAAGTTACTTGGATTGTAGAGGCAATGGAAGGAAAGGGGAGCTATCCACCCACTCGCAGGGATTTCACAGTATTTGGACGTCGTATTAAGAATTTAAAGAGACTGCAGCCCAGTAGTCAGGGATGCACGCGGCCGAAAGCAGGAGAACCAGAAGCAGGGGGGGGGGGTGCGGGGGAGGAGGAGGGGGAGGGGGGAGGAGGAGGGGGGGGAGGGGAGAGGAGGGAGAGGAGGGGAGAGTAGGGAGAGGAGGGAGAGGGGGAGGGGGGGGAGGGAGAGGAGGGGGAGGGGGAGGGGGAGGGGGAGGCGGCGGCGGCGACGCAGTGGGGCGCAGGGGAGGGCGCCCGCCACCCCGCCCCGGGAATTCCAGTCGCGCCCCGCTTTTCCTGGGAAGCCTGGGGCTCCCCCGCTGCCGCCGCCGCCGCCTCCCAAGCTTCCCGGCCACTCACCGAAACCCCAACCCCCCCCGGAGGCCTGGCCGGACGGGGAGGACCGCGGGCCCCGGGGCTGCGCGGGTCACCACCGGGCGCGGGATGCGGGATCCCGGGGAGCCGCAGCCTCCCCCCTGGCTGCCCCGGTTCCCCGACGTCCTCGGCTCCTGCAGCGCGCGGACCGCAGCCTGGGCCTCCGCGCTCCCGTCCCCGGCCCCCCCTCCCTCCCCAGGTAGCCACGGAAGTCGGGACCCCGGGACCCCGGGACCCCGGGAGCTCTCCGGCCCGGTACCTGGGAGCTCCAGGTGCGCTCCAGACGCTGCTGCCCCGATGCTGCCGCTGCGGCTCTGAAGATTCCTTTCCGGCTGGAGTCCGGGCCACGCTTCCGGCGGATGACTCAAACCAGGGCACCGATCCGGGCGCACCCCGTGACTCCCGGGGCCGGGAACGAGACGGGGAGGAGCCGCCGGCCCGGTGACCTGGGCGGACGGGGCGGGGGGCGGGAGGGAGGAGACCCCCGATATCAGGAGCAGAAGGTGGGCGATGTGATCAGATCTGTGTGAGCTTCATCTGATACCCTGAAAGCCCAGACACCCGAAGACCTAAGTTCAAGTGGTGTATGCATACACTGTGTATATAACCATCCTGTCTCAGGAAATCAGTTCACTAGAATGCAAGACAGGGAACACTGGTCCTTGCTATACCATGATGCCGGCTTTACAGTACTTATATAATGAATCCAGAGATGTGGAGCTAAACCTAGGGGAAAGATTCCTGAAAACTGTTTCTCCTGACAGACCTATGTTTTTAGTTGCGATTTAAAAAAATAAAAATTAAGTTTGAAACTTCCTATTGAGAGAAGAGGAAGCGCCTAGCCTCTTCACTGAGGCTAGAGATTTACTTTTGCAAAAGTCTCAATGTCTGCTACTAGAGTTTGAACATCTTTGTGAGCAATGAACTCATATGATCACTGAGAAAGTTCCAAGTAGTTCTCAAAGTGATCATTCCAGACTCTGTCAAGTGGCCGTGAAATTCCCATTCCTGGAAAAGATGCACCTTCACCGGCAAGGAGATCCGATGTATTTTATTTTCAAAGTTTTTGCTGGTGTAGCTCGCCAAACACCCCCTCACTCCCATGGTGAAAAGCTACCTCCCAAGTCATATTCTATTCTACTTCTCAGAAAGTGCCTTGTTTGGGCCTTTCCAGGGTCTCCAGAGCACCATTCTGCCCCAGTTTCTTTGCTTTCTCTCCAGATTCCTCCCTTTCTTGCTAACTCCTCTACCATTTCTGTGATCAGATGGTCTTCCTTTGGGCCCTCTGCTGTGTCCATCCATTTTCTGGTGGGGGGCTGATTTTCTTAAACGCTCTAGCCTGCCTCTTGATCTGTAGAACAATTCATGCACCCCTGGGCACCTGTCAGGAACTGGGGTGAAGGGCTTTTCAGGCTGACCAAATTATCACAAATTCTGTTGTTGTTGTTGTTTTTATCACCTTCATGTTTCTCCCATTCATACTACACGATCTATTTTGCAGCCTGCTCCCAACTCTGAAATTCCAATCATGGCTGCAATTCTGATTACAGTGCACCTCCATTTAAAACCCTTCAGAACATCCTGTAGATGAGAGGGAAATACCATGAAGAAAATACAGGCTGTGGAGCAAGGTTAGGTCTCCTATGTAAGCAAAGAAAAAGAGTAGCACGCGTGACCTCAGCAGACCAACAGGTTTTATTCAGGAAGAAAATGCCTGGGAAGGACAAGTCTGGGGGCGAAGGGGGAAAGAGCAAGGCCACCATGATGACTGGGGAATATCCGGCAGGAAAAGTGAAGTCAGGTGGGACAGACGGAAGTGAGCAAGGTGAGGCGGGGTGGGAGAGCAAGCTTATCTGGAGTAGAAGGCTTCAAGGTTTCAGCAGCATCTGTGCGCACCAGGGCATGGCACCAGACATGGCCTTGGTCTCAGGCTTCTGAAAGACTGTGGGGTCCTTCTGCTCAGGGTAAAGGCGAAGGTTCCGTGTTCAGTGGGGTGGGCAGCAAGGGCAGTTCTAAGATACAGCTGTCAGGAGAAAGGTGAGTGCTCTCAGTTCAAGTCGTTTCCCATCATCCTCGGGGGAGGGGGACGAAAGGCTGTGATTTGTAGGTCTCTAGTATGTGTTTGAGGGATGTCGGGTATGCTGAGTTGTCTTTTAAAATTCATCCTGAATAATATCTCCACCCTTCCTAAATTTTGCTTGATCCTCCTGCTGCTATAGCTCCCCAGGACCATCTTCACCCCAAACCAATGAAGTCAGGATCCCTTGGGAGAGATCGGGCTGCAGTGTCTTCCAAAGCTCCCCAGGCTGTGGCCCTTGGCAAATCAAGAAGCAGCCTGCAGGGCTGGGAAGGTGGCTCAGTGGTAGAGCGCTTGCCTTGTGTGCATGAGGCCCTGGGTTCGATTCCTCAGCACCCCATAAGCAAAAAGAAAAAAGCCAGAAGTGGCACTGTGGCTCAAGTGGTAGAGCGCTAGCCTTGAGCTGAAGAGCTGAGGGTCAGCACCCAGGCCCAGAGTTCAGGCCCCACCCCATCCCCCAAAAAGAAGCAGCCTGCAACAGACACTAAGGGTGAACCTTGGCCTCGACCTTCCCATCCTCCACACTGGGAAATACCTGTCTATATAAATGGCTATAAATGACCCAGAGTGAATAATCTCAGGACAGAGTCTTAGGAAGTGCCTTTCTTCTGCCAGAACCTTGGGTTGCCTCTATCACTCCCCTTACTGGCAAAGTCTAACACTGCACCAGCTGGTCAAATAGCCACTTCCAAGCCCCAGGTCAAGGACCCCAGAGAACCATGAACATGAGTGGGTTTAGAGCCAAGATACAAGAAATTGTCCACTGGCACACAGTAAATACAGTTCTCAGCTGGAATTGTGCCTAATCTGGAAAAACACAGTGTATTTCTTTCCCTTTTGCTAATCCCTTTCATAAAGACAATGGTTGGGGAGCTACATGTGAGAACCCAAATAGTTGGTCACAAGAAGCTCAGGAAAGCTAAATTATTTTAGGTCTGACTCCTGCATCCATGGAAGAGGTATTACATTCTCTTTTCCCTGACAGTCACAAAGCTCAGCTGCAAAAACAGAAAACACCAAAACAATAACTTAAAAAATCCCAAACAGAGTCGGTTTATGTATTCACCTCTGTGAACTGGAAGTTCCCTCCCTCCTGAGCATCAAGATCCTAGGTTCCTACATCTTCTACTTTGCAGAACAGGTTCTAAAGGAATAGGAAAGGAAAAAAAAAAAAAGCGGTATGCCAGTTTGGCCTACCACAACTAAAACTTGGGAATGATGCCAATGTCTTTCATTTCCCTTTATCCTAAGGATAAAAAGATCCTGAGCCATTTTGTCTACAGTGATGTTAATTAAAGCAAAATGATCACAAAATCTGAAGGGTCTCTCCTGATTGTCCTTGAAAGCCGGAAGGAACTCCCAAGTGTTGAGAAATCGGCGCACTCAGACGGGGACAGGATGTAACTCCCTGCACGTGATGCTTTTTTTTGGCAAAGGCAATGGAGAAACCTAGATTGAGTGCAGGTGAAACTCTGTGGAGTTCACAGTCTCCTGGACAATGGCTGCTGTTGTGCTTCTTGCATGTTTGGAGAGGCAGCACAGAGCTGCAGAGCTAAGACTGTCTCCCCTTCCAGGCTGGTGCTCTACGATTTGAGCCATAGTTCCATTTCCAGTATTTGGGTGGTTAATTAGAGATTAGACTTTCCTGCCTTGGCTGGCTTTGAACCACACACCTCAGATCTCAGTGTCCTGAGTACCTAGGATTATAGATGGGCGTGAACTACCAGCCATCCAACCCTGTCTTATTGAGGTTCTCTGTCAGTGCCTCCTTTGGAGCACAAGATGGCACTCTAAGTCTAAGTTTGCAGTTCTAAAGATGTCTGTATTTGGCAAACTGTACCCCAGGAGTACACCCACACTGCACAGAATGCCGGTTCCCTCGGGGGACCCAGTGGGGCTGCGTCTTGCAGCATGTCCCTGGTGGACAGGGGGAGCAAGACTGTGGTCACTAGGACCTTCTCACTTCTCATGTTTAGGAGTCGCAGCCCTTTGTCTTGCTCAATCCTGACCACACTTTCCTAAGGTGAGGCACGAAGCCAGCGTGGCGGTGAAGAATACGACCTGGCCCTGGCCCAGCTTCCAGTCTAGCAACACCCCAGTCTGTTGGGGTTCAGGGCTCACTGTTAGAGGTGTGCATTCTTCTTGCCCTCAGCTCCAGGCCTTCCGCTACCGTGTGACCCTCGGAATGGCACCGCCTGTGCTGTGCGTCTGGGATTTCCTAGTGTAATGTTGCCAGTCAAGGTTTGCAATTGTTATTTTCGGACAAAGAGCAATACACAGTTTTCCTCACCCCTTCCCCCTTCCTGGTGACATCCTCCTCACTCTTCTCCATGCTGTTTATTGTCCTCAAATATATGGCACCCATTCCACTCCAGGCTCAAACCAGAGGATAGTGCCTATACCTCATAGTCTGGACATGTAAGAATGTTCTAGATATGTCAGGGTTTGGAAATCGAACAAAGCAAAGTAATAGAATGTAACGAGTGAAATACACTCTGTTCTCCGCCAAATTCCTGTGTGTCCATTAAACTCGGTATTTATTGTGAATTTCTTTAAAAAGACACTTCACACACACGCACACACATGTGCACACACACACATGTGCACACACATAAACGACTCCAAGAATATTGCAATTTGCTTTCAGTCATTCTTTGCACTACCTCCATTTCATGTCTATTTCTCAACCAGCCTCCAGCTCCGAGATGCGAGGAGAACAGGAAGCGGGACCTTCTGAACGGGCTCAGTCAACACTTACTCAGTTAATGACTGCTGGTATAAATTTATTGACCTGAATTTCCCAAGACTTTTTCCTGTTCTATTTTTAAAGATACTGTGTTTATTATTTTCTGATTGTCAGTCTCTCCGATAGTGTTATGATAGTCTCAATTTGCCAGTAGCGGTAAGCTGCTACTAACTAAAGTACAGATATCATTTAGTTTTCAGCTCTTTCTCTGTTAATATCATGTCAACATAAGAGTTTTTTTTAAAGAGTCATCAAGGGAGTTCATTTACAGTGTTATTTTATGAGCCATCCCATGATATTTCTTATCAGGGACAGGCCATCATATCTATAGAGTTTTTCCCCTGCATTAGATGATGAATTCATCAAATGAGAGGACAATAATGCAATCAATCAGGGATTGATAGGCATTCAATGGAGTCATAGTATTTCTGCAATGCAAATAAAAGACATGTGAAGACCAGATGCTGTTTTTGTGGTTAAAAATAAAAACTATATTTTCTTAACTCTGCAGATAGGACAGGATGAAAAGATTTAGGTGCTAATATTTAAAAGCAAAGAAGATCTCTATGATGAGCATAACTGCATTATCGCTGTGCTTTTCCATCTGCTGGCACACTTCCTCTTCCATGAGACAGTTGGCTTAGCTGAGAGTTAGCGGGCTTAGGGGGAGGAGAACCTTCCATAGAAGAGCAAGCTCTTGCTCTTGTTGTGTCTGATGAGGAAGATGAATGGGTGGTCCGCATTGTACTCCATGGATGGGAGTTTAATTCGGAATTTCACCTCGCTCCCGGTGCCAGCCGCAGCCTCTGTGCCTTCTTCATTGATTTCTACAAAAGCTTTGTGGAACACGTTGGACAGACACAGGTTTCTGTCTGAAGACATCCCTGTAAAGTCAGCTTTACCCTGGCTGAATACGTCTCTCATCCCCAGGCTGCTCAGAGCAGACTTGAGATCGTAGCTCTGCTCCAGCCTGAACTTGGGCAGGTGCAGCTGCACTTCATATAGCTCCATCATGTCTTCGCGGGCCCACTCATTCAGCTTCTCGTAGGTGATGGCTTCCTCCAGCTGTGGGGTCGAAGCCAGGGAAGTCAGTCATTCCAAAGCAGAGAGAGAAACAGATCCCCGAGGATTGTACCTAAACTACTCTTACTCCCTTCACCAGGGGTCATAACACACACTCTGGAAACTCTTTTGGTTGTGTAATGAAAACCTTCCTGCTGCTGACCTGAAGATTTTTTTGCTTTGCAGTTTCGTGGCTTTCAGGATAGAGAAGAAATAGATTTTGTTTCAAATGGGAAGTACTTCCGCCATGGTAGACAGACATCAACTAGTTACCCAAATACTCCAAATACACACAAACTGCTAGATGCATGCACTCCAGTGCAGATTGTATGTCACAGTATGTAATGTTTTAGCTTGAGAAGTACCTAGAAAAACAATCCGCCTTTGGGTATATGTCTGAGGATATTTCTAGTAACATTAGACCTCATCAATGGTTGGATTTATTTATGAATCCAAAGTTTGGATGCATTATTAGAAGATGGTAACTGTAGGCATAGGTCTGGTTGAAGGCTGTGGGTGGTTGGGGTCATGTCGGGGGGGGGGGTCTTGATCTGGACCTTTCCTGGTTACTGTTCCACTCACTTCCTGTCCCTCATGATATGAACTGTGCTAATCTGCCGTGCCCCCTCTCCTCCCATGAAGGACTGGACCCTCTAAAACCATGAACAAATAAATCTGTCTTCCCTACATCATTTCTGTCAAGCATTTATCACCACGATAGGATAAACACAGGATGCAAACTGACAGTCTTTCAACATAAGAGATAATTCTTTGAAAAAAAATTTTTTTCACTCTGAAATCATAATATTACATATTATGATACTCCCCCCCAAAAAAGAAAATAGAGAGCAAGCTTTCAAACTTTAGGAGTAATTTTTTGATAAATATGTGTGTTTGTTCTGCTCTTAGTGTTTTGAATGTATTAATAATAAACACATACTTATATGTAGATATGTATGCATTGGGATGTGTAGATGTATGCATAGTTACACATATATATATGAATATGCTTTTTAAATTATACATTTGTTTCAAAGCAGGTAGTTTGGCCACTTTGGGAGCACTTGCTAGAAAACTTGTAAATGTTCTACATGAATAGTGTGACAGAATTTTTAGCTCAGGACCCTACGCTCCTAGGAGAGAGCTTTGACTCAGATTATGACTATAATGACAATTTGCCTACCTGTATCTTAAAATTTTGTGCAACCACTTGGAAGTCTTTCAACCTTCCTATCTATCCGTAGGTACATGGAAACTTTAAAAGAAAGTGGTAACTGTCTGGCACGCATGAAGATTTAGGCACTGCAAAAAAGATAGGTTGTTTTCTTCTTGGAAGGCTAATGCTCCTCTGAGCCATGCATTGATCAGAAGCATGATCTGACCAAAATTGTGTTACACATGGAAGTTTGGCTACTAACTAGCTGAAATAACATAGGAAGTTACTACTGGTATAGGCTCTTTCTCTTCAATTTTGTTTACTCAATAAAAACATGGAAAAGAGTTAGGGAACACACAATATATAAACTAAGGAATTATTCAAAGTAATACAAAGTAATAGATCTGTGGTAGAGCATCTTTTTGGCATGCACAAGTCCTTAGTCTTGATGCTCATCACCACCAAAAACATTAACTTTGAATCACGGATTCTACTAGCCTGAGAAGACTTGGGCCAACTGAAAGCTTCTAGTAATGAGTCTACAGAGCTGTGTGACTGACAACAAAACAGCTGTCTGTGTTGTGCAAGCAACTGTTTATATGACCACCCCATACTAGAGAGGCCTACAGATCACTTAACTATGCTGAAGAATAATAGCATCAGCTTTACAGAGCTTTGTAGTGTTTGAATATTTACTTGGAGATAAAGTACTGAAGAATCCCAGTATGTTGACCAACTGTTTATAGGAATTAAGAAGCAGAAAGAACCTATCCTTATGTTTCTCCTGTAAAACATAGGGATAAACACAAGATCCACAGCCAAATAAAATTAAAAAAAAAATCCACAGCCAGAGTTACCTGTTCCAGTCCCTCAACATCTTCTGGCAGGAGTACTAGCAGGCTCAGGTCACGGCTGGCGTAGTAGAGTTGAAGACCTGTGGCTCGTGGCTGCTCAATGAAAAAAACTGGAAGTTTCTTTTTCATAGACATCATTTGCACTGGTTTGGTTGTAGTCTATTTAAGAAAAAAACCTTTATAGTCATTGAAGAGATATTTCCAGAAAATGTTTAATTGTTACCCTTTATATTTGTTTTTTGTTTGATTTTAGCAATACTGGATTTAAACTTTTATGCTTACTAGGCAGGCACTTTCTTAAGCGGCACTCCCAGACATTTATTTATTTATTTATTTATTTTTATATGGAGTTTGAATTCATGGCCTGGGTGCTGTCCCTGAACTTTTGTGCTCAAGGCTAGCACTCTACCATGTTGAGCCACAGCTCCACTTCCGGTTTTCTGGTGGTTAATTAGGATAAGAATCTCATGGACTTTCCTGCCCTGGCTGGCTTTGAACCATCATCCTCAGACCTCAGCCTTCTGAGTAGCTAGGATGATAGTTGTGAGCCACCAGCATCTGGCTGGTTATGTTTTAATAGGTTCTTGCTTTTTTGCCTGGGCAAGCTTGGACCATAATCCTCCTGTTTACACTTACTACTTAGGATGAATGGTGCTCACCACCATGCCCAGCTTTAATTGGTGAAAAGGAATCTTGTGAACATTTGATACATTCTGACATTGTAGGTATTTGATACATCAAACAGAATGGCAACAATCCAAAACACTGACAGTACTACATACCAGTAAAAACTGTGAAGTAACAAGAATCATCATTCATTGCTTATCTCAGGTATTTTATCCCAGGGCTATGAAGCTAACATGCAACCTTTGGAATACATGAAATAAATCTTCAATTATATTAGTCTCTCTAGTGGGTTCCTATTACTTATTTTAGCACAGAGAGAAACTTTAACGAATGAGGTGAGAATTAACCTTTATATTGTTTTTTACTTATGGAAAGGTAAGAATGTGGTAGACAATGGAACAGGTTTAGAAGATTGAGAGCAGAATTTGCGGTGGGGAACGTATGGTTCTGTATTTCTTCCAACAAACACGCCTCCATTCCTCAAGTGGGAAGTATGGACAGCACTGATCCTCTCCAGCTCACAGGACCACAAACCAAGTGAGCAAACAGGTGAGCAGCAGGAAGTCAGACACACAGTGAAAGGGGAATTTCCAGATGGAACAGAATTCAGAGCTCAGTCAGCTTTTCCCTGTGAATAGCCATAGTTTGCAGGAATGTAAAATCAGAAAGAAGAGTGGCTATGAAAGTGTCATGTGAAACTGAGAAGTTTCACCTACCTTGTTTACCCTGAAAGGCTTTTCTGTGGTGTTCTGCACCGAGAATTGCTGCTCCCAGGTCCCTTTAAAGTACAGGGCATTCACCAGAACCATCCTGGTCAGGGCATCCACGGAGCCATCAGGTAGAAGATCTGGAATTTTACCTATGGGAGCACAGGGCAGGTTTCAAAGGGCTAGCAAAATATGTGTGTTTACTTACATACAAATAGACTTTTAATATTTCTGGAAGCTTCAATTTTTTCTACAACATTTCCAGTTTCAGGGTCTAGGAAGCTGAATCGATGGCTGACACATGACTAGCATAGCTGTGGTGCTGGGTTCAGTCCTCACACTGCAGAGGAAGCAAGAGAACGGAGAGAGGAAGGGAGGGAGAGAGTGAAGGAAGATAGAATGAAATATGTATGCATATATATATGTATATACCCATACACACATGTGTCACACACACATACATATCCATTTACCTAACTGTTCTGTGGATAAACACAGAACACACATTTAAGACACTACTGAGGAGGAGATGAGGGAAGGAGAAAGAAAAAGAATAACAGAGGGTGAATAACTTTTTTGGGGGGTCAGTCATGGGGCTTGAACTCTGGGCCTGGGCGCTGTCCCTCAGCTCTTCAGCTCAAGGCTAGCGCTCTACTCGTTGAGCCTCTGCACCACTTCCATTTTTCTGAGTGGTTTATTGGAGGTAAGAGTCTCACGGACTTTCCTGCCTGGGCTGGCTTTGAACAGCGATCCTCAGGTCTCAGCCTCCTTAGTAGCTAGGATGACAAGTGTGAGCCATGAGCACCCAGCTAACTTTTTAATTTATTACAACCACATCCATCATCTTTCAACATGTTTTTCAATCTGGTTGTTTACAACTATAAAAATTTAACAAGGAAATATATTGAAATTGATTTGAGAAGGAGGTAGGGCAGGGCGGGGGTGGGAGGAGAGATTGGTTGGACCATTGTAAACCTTGGTGGAAATGCAAACTTAAATCCTCCTCTGTATAACAAATGTAAGCTTTTTTTTTTTTGTTATATCAATATTAAATTTTGTTGCGAAGCCAGTGTATTTGATAAGGACTGTACAGAGAAGGGCGCTGGGAGGCACCTTCTAGCACTCTTAACTTCCTTCTAATACTGAGACTCCTCAAAATAATAAGCTGACTTTTAAAACTGCCAAATAAAGATATGCACAAGATTCAAAGATACGAGATAGCATTAAACACTTGGTTTTAAAAGCTGATATGCATGAATCCCCAGGGAAATATTAATAAAAACTCAAGATGAAGTCGGAAACAGAGGGAGAGAAACCCTAACTTCAAAACAATCAAGTCATTAACTACATCCTAAAACCAAGGTGCCCGTCAGCCATTTCAAAAAGTGAATTCTAACATTCCAAGCATAAAATAAAGAAGTCCTTTCACTATATAGAATCAAGGAAGCATATTCCCCAAATTGAAACATGACAAGAGACACTCCAAGCCCCAACAATAAGCCAATGTCCCTTGCAAATATGAACCACAAATCCAAATTACATTGAGCAAATAAACTTAATCCACGTTATGTAAAGAATGGAAGAAACATCAGCCAGGCAACCTATTAATATAATGTATTGCTGCTGATATCAAAGTATGTGTGCCCCTCCAAGACTCAGATATTGGAACTGGTATTTAGTCTGATGGTATTAAGATGTAGAGCTGCGTGCAGATGGCTCAGGACTTCATCCTAGCTTCTCAGCAGGCTGAGATCTGGGGATCAAGGTTTGAAGTCAGACAAGGCAGACAAAAGTCGCTCATCAAGACTCATTAAATACACACATAAACTGCTTTGTTAAAGGGCAAAAAAAAAGTCCAGCACATATCCTAGAAAACTAAGGGAAGGAGTGAGGTTGGGAGGAGAGGATGAGAATGTTGGAAAGGTTGATAGTGATCAAGGCACACTTCATACGCTTCGTTGAATGGCAACTGCTCTGTACAACTACTTAAAGATAATACAAATGTAACGAATAAATAAATGGAGCCACCATTTCTCCAATATTTCCATTTTGTACTCTCCTGCTTTTTAACCCCTACACTTTGGAGAAGTTTGTGATAATTTTCTCTCTGGTAAAGTGGTAGCTTCATTTCCATATTTTAGATAAGATTGTCAGGAAAGCAGAGGATCTAAAAAAATCCTTGGGCTGAACAGAAACAAAAGTTCTGGTTATTTAGAATGTATCTTCAGCTCTAAGAAATCTGCATGGTCACACAGCACAAATCCAGATAGACAGACGGAGCTTGGAGGACACCTCTCACCCTCTGTCTGGCTTTCAACCCAAGAGTTGATCTCCTTTCTGCTCTGCCCAGGAGCTTCCATGAAATTCACAGACTGTGGCTCCACACCAAAATAGGTTTTCATGTCTTCAAAGTATTTCTGAAACACACAGGTAGAAACAAGTCTCTTTTTATGCACAGTGGAAAAGCCAAACCTATCAGGATTGTTTTGTGAAAATCTAAGAAGAGGGGAATTCACCAACTCGCATCTCCTCATCCTCATTACTCTGTGCTTGCCTTGGTTTTGCCCAAAATCTAAACACCTCCCTCTCTAAACTAAGTAGCTAAGCTGAATTCCAGATGTGGGAGGAGCATATGCTGGATATCTACTTTGTTCATACCTGGAAATGAAAGTGGAATGAAATGGAATGGCAATAAGGCACGGGAGTGATGCCAATTGAGCTTTCACAAGCAGGAGTACAACAAGGAGACCTAGGGGTCTGACAACTGCCTTCCGTGAATGGCCAGGGACTCATTCTGAGCATGGTCCAAGGTTCGATTCGTCCATGGCCATCGCGGTGAGCGGTTGCTGGTTTGGAGGCATGAGCCTGGGAACATGGATTTCTTTCTCCAGACAGTTGTGGCATACCTTCCATTTGCTCGCTCCGTGTTGGGTTTATAAACGGAACAGAGTGGTGAGTCAATTCTCTTGCCAGAAAGAGGCTGGACCAGGTCTAGAATTTATAATCTTGCAAAAAGGAAACATAAATATTCAAAATATTCACAGGCATCCATTCCTGTCTCAGTCCAGGGCTGGTGGACTCTGTCTCATGTCCAAGTGTCTGCTGAGCTCAGTCATCTGGTCAACTTCCGAGCCAAGCAGGAGTCCATGAGCCTATCATCCATGATATTACCTAGAAGGTTCCATTTGCCTTATTTTATCCTTTGCCAAGTCTGAACTCCTCAGCGTTCACTGGATGTGCACAGGGAGGGCCTTACTTGCAGCCACAGGTAGATTTATCTTACTGCTGTTCTTCACCCTACTAACTTCCTTTCCCCCTGCCCCCCAACTAGCAGAGTCTCATCCTCTCTTGAAGCATGTGTCTGACTGTGAAGCCCTGAGGGGGATTGACGCTAACAGGGAGCATTCATCACCTCCTGCGGAGATGGGCTTAGGACAGGAGCCGGAGAGAAGGTGATCTCATTTTCTGTCCCATGTTCCGAAAATTTGCTCTAATTTGTTCCCAAGGCCAGGCTGCCACACACTCCTTCAGTACTACCACCTTCTCTTCCTTCACACCTACCCCACTTAGTCCTTTATTTGTTGTTGTTGTTTTGGGTTTTGTTTCTTGTTGTTGTTTTTTTTTCTTGTGACAAGTGTTGGCCCAGGGACAAACTTCCATCTGTGTTCATGGTTCAACCTTGGAGGTTTCCTCTATTCTACATATGCGGGTCTGATAACTTCATCTGGTTTGAAGACCACACCCCCCTACTTTCCCCCCCGCCCCCCTTTTTTTTAGGGGGGGTTCCTTCACCGCTGGTCTCAATCAGGAAGTACTGTCCACATTAAGATGGTCCCTAGGATCCCTGTTCACCTTTTAAATTGGTACTGCATGATTCTTTTCCTGCCATGAACTTAAAGACATTTGCACTCACGCTGTGAAACGGGTATGTTTTCTCTCCGTATATCCTATTGGCTGTTTTAAGTATGTAGGAGTTGCCCGGCTTGAGGATTTCTGCCATAAGTGACTGGAAGTCAGAGTGTATGTCTTCTACCTTGTCTGAGTTGAATTCCTTTAAAAGAGGAGAGATTCAATTGGTATTTTTTCCCCAAAACAATGCTGAATAAAAAAATCACATGTATGTGATCAACCTCTTGCTAAATAAAATTACTGGATGGCATACAAATAAAATTGAAAGGAGGCATTGTTTTCTCCAAGTTTCATGTGCAATTACAGGCAAGAACACAGAAGTTTTGAGAGGTATCAAGAAGGTAACAACGAGGGAAAGTATAACTGTTTTTTAAAAATATATAGTAGATATTCCATGTTTTCTAAAGCATTGCCAGCATTTTAATATGTCTCCAAGAAGAGCTCATCATAAAGGGCTATTACAGGTACAGGTTGCATGATTTAACCACTAAAATACATAGTGGTTAAAACTGTCTCCTTAATTATCAAATGGGTACCAAAAAATGACAAATACCATTTTCCTTTTCTTCTCACTTTCAGGATCAGATTTGAGATCTCTGCTGCTGTTAAACTGAAGCACCTGTAAGTTAAAAAATAAAAAAGACACATGAGTATACCTAAAAGTAACCACAGGAAGTAACACATCTGTGAGCACTCGCCAGCCATTCTTACCTTCAGAACCCATCTTCAGAACATGGAAATGCACAATAAGACTCTGATTTGACTTAAATGATGTGTTAGACTGGTAGAGAAATTCAAGAGCTGCTTTGTAAGTAAGCCTTTAAAAAGTCTGACTTAAGTTGCTAGTGAGTTCATTTGAATACTTTTGCTAGGGAATTTTGGAATGAGGTAAAACTCTCCCGTTTCCCCTATTTCTCTTTTATCTGCAGTTATTTGAAAATGCACGTAGGGTGGGAAGTCTGGGGCCAGCCGAGATGCCAATCACAGCTGGTAGAAAGGCCTTGGCTGCAGAAGGGAGCTTCCTGCCTTGTACCAGGGAGGAGGGATGGGTGTGCAGAGAGGCCAGCAAGACTCAGCGCATACCGACCTGGCTGGGCGTCCCCACCTCGTCTACTGGCGTTAGGTCACAATCTTTATATCCAATCACCTCCCTACATAGTTCTCCCCCTTCCACGCACACCTGTGCAGTAAGATTTTCACAAGGCAAAACAAGAACCCCAAAATAGGGTGCAGAGAACTTGTGATGGCTGAACGCGAGGAGGGTCCTGGAGGGTGGTAGACTGGAAAGGACGTGCAAGGTGCTCCACAGCCCTCCCTCAGACCTTACCTGCACTCCTGAATGGACAGCAAAGACAGGAAGGGTCCTTTAAACAGTGGAATAGTATTCCGCCATTGAAAGGAAGAGAGTCCCACCATTTTCAGTCAACATGTATAGAGCTGGAGGTCATTATGCTAAGTGAAATAAAACCAGGCCCTGACATTCCTAATGAAGGTGTTTAGGGTGCTGGATGCACAGCGGGGAGGGGGCGGTATAGATGACCAAGCCCTGAAATGGGCTTTGATGCTATCTGGTCATCTAGTGTCACTATTGAATTGAATCAGAGAACACGCAGCAGGTATTGATTGCTTGGTAAGTGAATAAGGAACCTCACTGTTGGGTGCAGAAGTGTCAGGAGAATAGAGTAGGGAAGATTAATGATTAGAGTTTGCTTTTTCTCTGCATCCTCAGTACAGCAATGGTTAACAGAAGAGGGCTAGGGAGGGTTTGGAGGGAGAGGGGATACGGGGCACTAAATACAGTTTAATAGGAACAGTTAAGTGCCAGTTCACAACAATTTAACATACAGTTAACAGAACTAGAAAACAAAAGATCAAAGAAATGATAGCTTTTAAAGAGAGAGACGTACAAATTGTGTAAATAACCCGGATTGGATCAGTGTACATCGCACACACACATTATGACACTATTAACATAAATGTGGACAATGAGGATCTGTCCTTTGGAACCCTAATAGGAGAAAAAGAGGAAAGGGGTTCAATCGGACTCATCATTTAGACCACTTCAGCAAGACAATCATCACCTCAACTCTGTGCAAAAAATTGAGGGATTTGAGTGATTTGTTTTTCTACTGGAGTACTGTGGTTCTCATTAGTACACTTGACACCTACAGACCTAGCATTTGTGTTCACGCCCACACTGGTCTTGGATGTTCCTAGAAAGGATGTGTCTTTCCTGCTTCCCCCACTCAGCAGGGCAATGGAATAGAAGCCTCTGGTAGATACTGCAGGATATGCCCACAGCCAGGACCCAGTTCCCAATCAGGACTGAAGCACACACACCCACGGTAGCTGGCTAAGGACCACGGGTCGCAGAACATGAGGTACGTGGCCAGGTCAGCAGGTTCTTTGGCAACCAAAGCTAAGAAAATTTAAAACAAGTGACACCCAGAAAACAGAATCTACTTAAGAATCTACTTAAGACTAACTCTAGCACATGAGGTCAGATAAGTTGATGTTAGGTGAAATGAACCCCAAGATAAGGACTCAAATGTTTTTTTCTTTCATGGGATTGTTTCTAACATATTTATAAGATGATTTCTTTGTTGCTTTGTATGTCCCTCCCCCACAGTATAACCCCTGCTTTCACTATATTTGATGTTGGTACAATTTGGGGAGGAGAAGGAATAAACAAGTTGTTTAAATAAGGATACCGGTGGACCCATTGCAACAATGAGATGTACAAGACGTTATATCGAAAAACGAACTTTACAACTTTGGCGCGGGGTTGGGGTTATGGGGGGGATGCGGTGGTTTGGGGAGATGGGAAGGGATGGGAAGGGGAAACAAAGGAGGAGTCAACAATGCTTGATAAGAAATGTGCTCATTACCTTGCTCATGTAATTGTAACCCCTCCATACGATATTTTCACAATAAAAAAATCTTCATTAAAAATTAAAAAATAAAAAAAATCATCATATGAATGGTTAAGCCTTTTAAAAGAATCAACTGGTCACCACAGAACTGTAAACCAGCAATGTTTTGTTACTGTTGCTGATGATGATGATGTTTTCAATCCTAACCTAATCATATTTTGTGAACTACTGGAGTTAGGATGATATATCTTTGCACCACACTCACAATACACACAACCTTCTTTACCACAATGACTGGTTTTGCCTATTTCTAAATTTGGCATAGATGATCACCATCTTGGGAAAGAATTCTGTCATCTTGTTGCAAGATTTGGAAGTTAAATTTGCTTTTCTTTTTTACTTTTATTTTAAAAAACATGTATTTATATGTGAATGTAGATACATTATAAATATGCACTCTCTACATGATTATGCACTCTATCTGTGTGTGTTTTGCATCTTTGGGCACACAATGCTTGGAGGATTCTCAGGACATATTTTAACATTTTTAACAAGTTTCCGTATTATATTGCTATTGCTGACCTCTTCAGATTCAGCCAGACAACCCAAGATTAAATGAACAACTAAGTAAGGCATGAGGAGCACAATTATTTCATTTTCATAGATGTGTGTCTGTGTTTGAGAAAACCCTTCTGGAAAAATCCTATTCTTTAACATTTGGCTAGCTATTTCTTGAAGCATTTTAATCATCAAAATAAGTGTGATTTAGGGTTATTCTAAAAGATGACAGCCTTATCATTTTTCTGCATCAGGGATTTTCCAAGTTGGTTTCTACAACTTTTTTTTTAGCATATCTTTTGGTTTGGAAGACATTGCTATAAAACGGGTTGCCGGGCTTTCAGGAGAAAATGGCAGCTAAAAGCAATGTGCGCACTCCTGTGGACGGCGGGCGGTGCCCTCTCCTCACCTGTGCCATCTGGGCAGCTGTGTCTCCTTTGGTGCCTGAATACACCATGCCCAAGCAAGTCGAGATGCCCCAAGGAGAAAAGAAAATGTTTCTTCCCTCCGCAGACTCAGCCAGCTTTTTGCTAAACTCCAGGGCAAATCGGTTGATGGATGTTGCTAGGGAGTCCATTGTGGGTGGGGAGAAACCTAAGGAAAGAAAAGCAAAAATGGAGAAGATGTTAACAAAACCCTTTCCATGTATTTTATTTTGGGAAAAGTATTCATTGCACATGGTTATCTACCTCTACATTCAGGGATTATATTGGAGCTCAGAGGACTTTAGGGACACTCTAGTCCAACATTATTGTTTTGTATATTACAACCTAGAATTATGGAGAATGGAAGATTTTGAATGCCGCAATTTTGAACGGCAATGTACATCAGAGAAGAAGAGTCAGGCAGCAGCTGAATCCAGTCCACACAAGTCTTTGCCGCCTCACTAGTCTTCATGTTTATATCTAGTCTTTCCAAACTCTTCAGTATAAAATTGTCTTCATATACTGCTTTGTACCAACAGTACTAGTTTTGGATTTGGTACAAACAAGGATCTACCCATCCTTGCTTATTGCATGTTTACAGTGTTCACTACTTGGGCTCCAGTCCACCATTTTTAATTTCTTTCAACTTGAAAGCATGTCCAATATAATTGAAAATGCCTACAGAGAAACTGAGACTGGTTTGCCTGTTTGTTCCCTCATTCATCTTGAACAAGAGAACCCAGGCTTTCAACTTGCAAATTTCACTTCCAGTTACCCTGAGAATGTAATGTGAATGTCACTTCACACTGAGTCCCTATGAAAGACATAGTTAGCTCAAGCTATTGTCATCATATGGTCAAATAATTTTCATCTCGATTAAGCAAAACTGACATGAACTCAAATTTCCGTCTTTAGGAACTCCATTAGTGGCTGACTTGTGTGGTTTGGACTCAAGCTGATAGTGCTGGCCCTTCCAGAAAGCCAGAGTGAGGGCTTTGGAGAGTCAGTTCTCAGTGACAAATACTTGAATCAGTGAGCGGCCTGTGTAGAGGGCTTTGGAGTTGATGACGATACTACTGAAATTCCTCCCACCAGTACCCTCCCACTTAACCAAACAGCTTCTGACCTGCAGCTCACACCCTGACTGTGGCTTCTGCCAGCTACAAAGGTTCATAGTCATCCCAGGCTGATGTTATTGTTATCTGACATTAAAAGAAACAGAAGCCTTTCCGGTTGGGTAAGATTCTATACCCTCATAAGGAACTGGAAACTTAACTGCAATGTTCCTAACAAATAAAAAGTACTATGTCAGAAAGAGCTTCTCTGTTTCCTTTGATCGTAATGGAGGAGGTGGCTCTGATCAAGAAGCCCTGGACACCAAAATAGGCATGATAAATGATAAACCTTGGTACGACAATGTGAAGGATTTTACATTATCATGTTCATTCATTCAAATGGCATTGTGACCACTGTCTTCCTACAAAGCTTTTCTTTTTTTAAAAGAAACTCACGATGTACATTCATTGGGAAAATCAGCATGAAGAAGGTGGAAAGCAATGTCTTAGTACCTGGGATTTCATCTTTCTACCTTAAAGATATATTGTTCTAGAACATATTCATTTGTAATAAATTCCTGAATAAAAGAACAATAACAGAACTACTTGTGATAAGTTAAGATCTAATTATCTTCAGTCTCATTAAAATTCTCATTACTGTTATTGTTAATGTATAGGATGCCACCTATAACACCTTTTTAACATCCCTGACTTTCCCCTCTTGTGAGTATAGGACTTTGAACTCAAGTCCCTCTGCTTGCTCAGCTGGAGCTCTACCACCTGAGCCATGCCTCCAGTCTAGAATGTTGCTGGTTCTTTTGGAGATGGAGTCTCGTGGACTTTTCTGTCCAGACTGACTTCAAACTTCATCCATTCAGATCTTAGGCTCATGAGTAGCCAGGACCTGATCTTTCTTTGAAGAAAGAACTATAAGAAAACACTAAGCCATTCCTGTAATCTAACAGTTCTAAGTACTTTCGTAAAGATGCAGAATTTGAGGATAAGGTGTTATAGGAAATAATTTATCCAAACAAATGCTGGGCAATCAGTAGCCTCTAAGCAAACTGCTCTTTTGCAGTTTTCAAGAGTAATAATACCAATTTATCATCTATCTATCTGTCACCTGTCATCTATCTGTCCTAAAGAGGACAAGAAATTAAGAAAAAGTAATGTCATTGATCAAAATGTCTTATCATACACAGTTTGCTTCTTATATATCACAGCTGAAGAGAACCTGGGAGTCTCCTTAACCCAAAACCACTTACCTGCTAATAGCTCAGATCAGGTTGAATAAGCTGACTGAGAACACACAGCTAACTAACAACAGAGTTAAAACACATTTTCCTGAAATTTAATGAAATTGTTCTTGTCAGTGAAGCTCATTGTCATTAAGAGTTTGATAGAGAAATTGGGTGAAGGAGAGTGAGGTCTAATAGGAAGAGAGAGAGAGAGAGAGAGAGAGAGAGAGAGAGAGAGAGAGAGAGGATCAGAAAAGCAATAATGAATATAGTCTGGTCTTCCATCCCATGATGTATGGCCTTGCTGATGATAAGACTGACAATGTCACCTACTTCAGCCACATCAGAAAACATTCTCCTCTGCTCTTCTCACACCTCTTTTCCCATAAAGCCCTTTCCTTAGGACGCATTTAAGGAGCACCTGGTTTAAGGCCAATAACTCCAGGAGGAGTAGGAAACTGGCATTCCGAGTGGTGGCTAAGCAGGATCGTGAGCACTGGGGAGGCAGACAGTTAGACGATCAAATCAGTTCCATATATTAATGAGGAGCTCACAATTCAAGCCTCCAGCTCCACTTTTCTGAGGGTGAGTATGGCTTAGGCTCAATTATTATAAGATACTTTTATCTTTGCTTAATGCACATATAGGTAGAAAATCCCCACATGAGTTCACTTGTGGCTTCACAATTCCTGGTTTTAAAACAATCAAACAAACAATTTCTATGACTTCATTGAAATGAAGGTCCTCTCTCCCTTAATCTTCAGTACAAAATTTCCCCCAGCTCAAAGTCAAGTCTCTCTGGCCTGTAGAGAAAACCACCTCAGGGATGGAGAATTGTCTTTGCCACCTTGAGTTTAACAGAGTAGTAGATATTTGTTATTTAGCTAGGCACCACAACAAAGGAAAACATTTTTTTTAAAAAAAGTTTACAATACCTTGTTTCTCTCTGCTGGAGCCGATTGGCAATTAGTTTCTTCAGAAAGAAATTGTGGCTGAAGAGTTAGGTAATTTTAACTGAAGAATAGCCCCTCCCTCTTCTCCGCCTCACATTTAGTTAACTTTTACAAGTCAGTACACTCTTCCTCTCAGGCTTTCCTTGGCCGGAAATTCAAATGAAAAGAGAGATAGATAGTTGAGGTCTTGCCTGAGAACATTTTCCACTTGCGTCTGCTTGTAGAGACCTGAATACTGACAAATTCTCAGTCATACCATCTGAGCTTAATCCCTTCTCTGCTCTGCCAACTAACCACAATTAGCATTGGTTCTCCTGGTGAAGTTTTGTTTGTTTTTTAAAAATCAGTAGAATAATAATGAACAATGCAATGAAAGCTATCACTGATGCATTCTTTACAGCTCACCTGCTGCAGTTGCTCTCAGGGTACTACTACACAACCAGGGTATTTTCTGTTTCTATCTGCAGTGTAGGTGTACACCCCAGAGCGGGAGTCCAATGAGGAGCAGGTCAGTGTCCCACACCAGCAGAGATGAGGATGTAGGTCAATGTGTTAGACGTTGCTCTTCAGGGGAACATTGATCCACCATTTTCTGGTCTTATTTTCCTTAACAACATTCCTTAGCTCTGTCCTCCTTGGTTCCTCAAGAAGAAATTGCAAGATAATAGTTTTATTTACATATGCATGGAGGATAAAAACAGGCAGGACCAGGGATTAAGGGGAAGGAGGAGCCTCTCCATTTACAATGAATTTGGTACTGTTTCCATGTTTTCCTCACATAGAGGCAGGCACCTCTCCTGGCTGAAAGCTAACTATTTGAAAGTTGACATGGAGTCCACTGCAAAGGGATTCCTGGGAATTTCCCTTGGAAATAAGCTCTGTGGTCAGAAGTTCCATGACGCCTGCTTGACTTGTCGTGTGCAGACTCGGTGGTCCACACATGCGCCCAGCGCTCTGCTTAGCCAAAAAACATCTCCTGAGGCTCCAGATGGACTGCTCTCCTGGACTGACAGGAGTTCAGCCGTCATTCCCGATGCTTCCCTGCTCAGCAAGCAGACTTGCTCGAGTTCCTCGTATTGTATCAAACGCACCCATGTAGACGCGATGACACAGGAAGTCATTTCATCTGCTTTAAAGTCACACAGGGGAAGTTTTGCTCATTTTTCCCCAAACTTTCTCTACATTTTCCCCCAGTCTCCTGTTGATTAGAACTCTATTTACTGAAACACTGCCTAGACCAAGAAGATTGGCTTGTGCATTGTGTCAGGTTGCCTTTTGGAGACAGAAGAAAAAAAAGAGGTAATCACATCTTATATTAAGACACAAGTATGATTTGTTGTTGCTATGTATATCCTTCCTTAACTCTGTAGGTAATAATATGTAGGCAGGGCTACAGGAATAGAAATTAACTAAACATGCATTAAGAACAGGAAGGAGAATCATACTCTAGTATATTTGTATGTCATTGGACAGTTTATTAGGTGTTCAAAATATTTTAGAAACAGAGAAATGCTCTCCGGGTACATCAGCTATATTCTAATAAGTATTCAGAAGCAGAAAATAGATGGAATGGGGCAAGGAAAACTGGGTAGATAGCACTTGCCTTTGTCCATTTAGAGTATGATCATTGAGTGCCACTGGCAGAGTGGCCTAAACAGGCCCCATTTATTCTCACACTTCCTGAGCCTGGAAGCTAGAGAGCAGAGTGTGACCGTGGTCAGGCTGTGGTGGGGGCCCTCCGCGGGCTTTCATTTCAACTTCACATTGCAGAGGAAGAAAGCTCTGTACTCGTCCTCTTCTTTATGAGTACTCCCTTCCCCATCGTGGGAGTTCTGCTCTCATTTCCTAATCTAACCTTTTACTCCCAAAGCCCCAATCGCATCGTAGGATGGATTATAATGTCAGCATACCAGGTTTTGAGGGAGACACAAGCATCAAGTCCTAGCAGTGGCTGAAAGTTTCCAAGAACAAAGGCAAGATAGAAATATCTGCTGAGATAATCAGGACAATGTATGAAAAATTATCATTTGTCAGCAATGCTCTCAATGTGACAAAATATACAAAAAAGAATAAAAACGAAACTATTAAACTCACAACAAGCAAGAATTATGACATAAACTTCACCGTGCATGACTTTGAATGCCTGAAGGTATCAGAATTATGTCCACAAATGTTGGAAAGGGCTTTGACCCTAGAATTTGTCACTTAACCACAATAGTGATAGTAAAAGATGGGCCGCTTAGAAAGATGGGTCATTTAGGACTCACTCAAAACCATCCATAAAGTCTCTACTCACCCACTTTGCTGATAAGAAAGTGGTACACATCTGTTTAAAGTAGCTAGGAGAATGCAATAAACAAAAGAGCTCTAATTTTCAGGAATAAATGAAAGAAGCTTTAAAACATTAATGCAGTAACTTTCTTTTGAGATTCTGTTACGCTTGACCAGTTACATATGCAGGATAATAATGATTATAGTCAATAAGAATTTATTGAATAGCATTTATACCAAGCATTTTGTAACAGCATAATATGCCTGGACTCATTTGCTCATGAGTTCATATCAATCTTAGGGGGAGAAAAGGCTCACACTGAAAGAGGCCTGAAGAAAGCAGAAGAGTCACACTTGGCACATGGTTAGACTGTTTGTAGGCCGTTGAACTGGGATACCATGCAGACATTCAAGATCACGAGAGTAGCTTCTTAGCTATCCCTTCTTGGTGGACCAACCAACATCTCAGACTTCCATTTCAGGGGGTGGAGCTAGGGATGCAATTCCAGGATCCAGTGTTAACTTAGACTCTGCTCCGCTTCCCACCTACTCAAAGGCAGTCACCATTACTTGTGCCAAGCGACCATCTTGCATTCCCTCCTGCTCTCGCACTCACCCTGTCTCCTCTGCTCTGGACTTTCTGCTCCAGGGTCCTGACTTGAGTCATGGACCACTGAGTCTGGAATGCTGCACACGTTGGTTATCTGTAGTATCCTTCTGGTTACATACTTGTTCCCCAAAGTGCTTGGGCCGGGACTGTTAGGAATTGCTACACCTTGTGCTGCCATGAGAAAGCAGCTCCAATCCATTTCTTCATCTTTCCTTTTCATACAGAGCCATCCTATGTACACTCAAAATTGCATCTTTTTGCATGACTGAAATTATGTCCTTTGGCTCAATTATCCTGTCTATATTTTCTAGGTTCCCACAAGTTAGTCATGATACTCAGTTTCTAGAAATCAAGGTGCTTTGGTTTAGATCTGACATGTCTCCTGAAGGCCCATGCATGAAAGGCTTGGCCCTCAGTTTGATGCTTTCAGAGGGTGGTGGAAACCTTTAAGGGGTGGAGGTTCAAATCCTGGGCTTAGGCCCTTGGAGGGAATTATGGGTCATGGTCTCTTCCTGGCCATGAAGTATGCATCTTTTCTCTATTATGAACTTCTCAAGATGCCTTACCGTTGGCTCCAAAGCTGCAGAGCCTACCACCCATAGACTACAACCTTTAAATCTATGCACTAAAACAATCTACATTTTCAGTTGACTGAACTCAGGTATTTTGTTATAGGAAGGGAGAGCTGACTAACAAACAAGGGATAATAGGTCTTTACTACACACCCTAGGCCAATAACTGAAAACAAATAGTTGAGGGTAAACACATTTATTTATTAAATATTTGGAATTACATAGAAGATATAGATACATCTGTGTGACAAATAATGCTACAAATTCCCATAATATATGGACATTTATTATGGAAGATTATAAGAGATCACTTACTCATACTTCACTTATAAGCACAAATAAATACAGTTCTACCTTTGTGTTCTATTATTGGAGCTGTCCCTTAGCTTTGGTTCAGAATTGGCACTCTATCATTTGAGCCTTAGCTTCACTTTTGGATTTTTGCTAGTAACTTGGAGATCAGAGTCTCAGTGGACTTTCTTTTTTTTTTGGTCCGGTCGTGGGGCCTGAACTCTGGCCTGGGCGCTGTCCCTCAGCTCTTCAGCTCAAGGCTAGCGCTCTACCACCTGAGCCACAGTGTCACTTCCGGTTTTTTCTTTTTTGCTTATGTGGTGCTGAGGAATCGAACCCAGGGCCTTGAGCATGCAAGGCAAGCGCTCTATCACTGAGCCACCTTCCCAGCCCTCTCAGTGGACTTTCTTGTTCAGGCTGACTTCAAACTGCTCTCAGCCTCCTGAGTAGCTAGTTACAGGCATGAGCCACTGGTCCCTAGCAGCACAAGCAAATATATTTACTTAGATGGAAACTTAACAAACCACTTGCTTCTGTAATTTTTTCAGTCACATTAAATAGTGAACAATAAGTAAAAAAACAAACCACTGCTATATAAAATAATAAATAACACAATTAATGTTCATGCTATAAAATAAAGTTCTGCAAGGAAGAACTAAATGAATATCATCCTGTTTGAGCAGACCAAAAGACTAATAGAGCTATTGTGTTAAGACTGAAAGCTATGTAGTTATTGCTGAATTTGTAGTTAGCATAGAGAAGTTGTCCAAAAGAACAGAAATACGTTGAAAGTATTTCTAAACACTTGGCTCTTGAGATAGCAATTCTGAGACTACAAAACCTTGTGCAGAAACGGGCTTTCAGTTTTAGGGTGAGGAGAATTTGCCCCAAAATAGAATGCTCTTCGTTGTGGTTTCACAGATAAGGAAGAGAAAGGGATGGTCTGCCACAAACTGTGGGCCTCCATGCCCAGTTCTCCCAGTCATAATAGCCCCAGTGCCTCCCGCTGCTACAGTGCCCTCCTCATTCACATCCACAGAGGCTTGATGGAACACGTCTGAAAGAAAGAGAGTGTTCTCCTCCGACATCCCTGAGAAATTGGCCTGGCCTTTGCTGAAGGCATCCTCCATGCCCATGCTTCTCAAAATGGATTTGAGTTCATAACGCTCTTCTAATTTGAACTGAGGTAGGTAGACTTCCACATCACCTTCAGCCATTGTGTCTCGGTTGATCCACTTGCTGAGTTTGTCATAATTTATCTCATTTT